CATAAATAAATAAAAATAAGATGTGTACATCCATTTGGGTGTTGATATACTTCACTCATTGTGCTTAACTTTTCATTGGTAATTTTGTTGAAATCTGTCTAATTCAGAATATTGACATAATTCACTCTAATAATTTGCATCTCCAATTGATTTGCTAGCAGTTTATGAAAATACCTCTGCTGGAAATACATTGTAGAAAATACTGTATTAATGGACAGTTTCACATATCCAATGCAATTTCTTAAATCTATCTAGATTTGCTTTCTATAGTCATGTTTGGGAAATTCAAGCATAGATGAAGAACAGTTGATTTCCTTGACCTCAAAAACACTTAATTCCATGTGATCTTCACTTTTCTATAGGCCATACAGAATGAGATATGACATTCCAAAAAAGATGCCAGGGAATCAGTAGAAATAGGAGGGAATGTCTATCAGTATTCTGAAGTTCTTAGAGCAGGTGACCATTCATTTAGAAATTTACCATTCTGGAATTTTGATATGCTATTGGGGTGTGGTTGAACTGTTCTACTGGGATTTTCTGTTAATAATGAAACAGTATCAGTTTAGTGTATTTCTAAGAGAGAATGTGTGTGAACTCCCTAATTTTCTAGAACTCCCTATGAGAGAATCATGTTTCTGAAACACTGGAAATTATGCAGATTATCCCTACTCTACACAGGGATTTACAATGCAGGAAGCAAATATTAATTCAAGCAATCAGAAATTGCTTATTGTGTTTCAGAATATTAGTATGTATGTTTCAACAATCAGGTTAAAAAAATCTGCAGCTTATTCATTTTCCATTTGCAAGGTTCTAGATCATACTGGTGGGGAATTCTGTGAATTGAAGTCCACATATCTTAAAGTTGCCAGATTTGAAAAACACTGTTCTATATGCATACTTATTTTGCTAATTAAATTCTCTATATATCTGCTCATAAGGAAGCCATATTGAGTCCAATAGGTAATGTATCCAAATACACATTTATAAATTACAGAAAAAATTCTTTGCATTTGTTATGGGGGAATTTATATACTACTAAAACTCTCGTGTCTGTAACCTTCAACTGGGTGAAATGGTGAGTCACAGGGCAACAATTTTTGAACCAAGGTACCTCAAATGGGCTAACTTGCAGAATGCATCCAAAATCCAGGACCCATTACTCCTCTGGGATTGAAATTTGGAAAATTTGTGGCTGCTTCAGCACTGATGCACTGCCATGGTCAGCCCAGGTCCTGTGGTCATCATGGGCGTACTCACCTCCCTCTGTCAGCTGGCGGCAAGGCCCAATGGGTGAGCAGCGATTGGCTGCTTTGGAAACGAGGCAGAAATTTGAAATCTCTTAACAGGGAAGGATGAGGGAGTGATTTGGATGCCTGCTAGCGAGGTAGGAATGGATGGGGGGTGGGTGCCGATGGTCAATGGTTGAGCCCTCTTCCTCCCTCAAGGGAGGGGCCCTTGGGGATATGTTGGAATGGGGAGCAGGGATGCAGTTTTCCTCACAGTCCGTGGCTCCTTTTGTTCTACCTCCCCCCAGCAAAGTGGCAGGTAGTTCTGCGGGTCAGCCAAGGAGGAGGAGGCGACAGCTTAACCAAGGCCCTCCTGAGGGTTGTGAGGGAAAGGCAAATGGTGCTGACGCTCCCACTGCTTTTTTGCCCTTGGTCATTCTGTATCTCTGTTTAGGTAAGGAAATATCTCTGAAGTGATGACCCAACAGGTCACAGGTTGTCTAGTTCTAAAAATAATTACATTCAAGGAAATGTGTTGCTTATGTTCACATCTTCATTCATACCACTGTACATCACCTTACGGCATATTTTATTTGGTTTGTTAAATGTATTTGTTTTGTCTGTTAAAGGCTGCTTTAGAGTCATAAGCAAGAATTATTCCATTTAATTCTACTTACAACACAGACTGGTGGTTTATTTGCTTGGGATGAAGGTGGGGGGAGGAGAAATCTAGACAAATTCATCTGAAAGGAGGAAACAACCAGGACGTTTGAATATATCTAAAACTTTTTTAAAGCCAAGGACTTCAAAGACTTAGCCAGATCAGTTAAAAGCCTAGCAGGTGCACTTGCACACATGCAGAGTTTCATTAGGGCTAACGTTAATTATTTTGTGGTTTACTTTGTGATGCAAACTCATTCCATTTAGTTATTGTGCAAACAAGAAGTTGGTTCAGTAACTATAGTAATTCTTGTTTTTGAAAATGACAAAGGATTATGGTACATCTTCACTGATAACAGACTGTTTGACCTTATCTTACAACCACAGCTACAAAGACAACAACTACAACTTTCTCTCTCTGAAAAAAGAACAAAAAATGCAGGCATTTTGCCTGCATGTTGCTGAACAGCTCCCAAACTATGTTCAGGCACTATTTTGGCCCCTTTCCCAGTTCTAGCCCAGTTTCAACATTGCATTTTGCAGAAATCCATCTGTAGTGTTGTTCCGGGGGCTGTGGGCAGGGAGAAGAGCCTCCAAACCTAGATTGGGCCCCAATTCCTTAAACTGCCACTGGAGAATCACGCTTCTTATTGCTTCACACGAAACAAATGGGTTGGGCATTTTATAAAGCTGCTGTCTTTGAGTTCTACCCAGCTCTGAGTGCCCATTTGTCCTCTCACCTCGGAATGACCGGACACTGGGCCAAGATGCTGTTTCCTCTTCTGATCGGGGCCAGAGAAGGCAGGATTCGTGTCTCCAGCTACGCTTTTGTGAGTGCTGCCATGAAGTAGTAGAAGATTAGAATGAGGAGAGAATTCTGAACTACACCCAAGACCAAAGTCAAGGTAAACATGGAAATACGTGAAATGTCTCCTGCCTGTCTGTCTGTCTGTCTGTCTGCCTGTCTTTCCCTCCCTCCCTCCCTTCCACTTTATTATGCATTAGTTCAAAG